AGGGAGGATGGCCATGCCGCAATCCCTTCTCCTCCATTCTCCTCTCGGGATCTTGGGCATGCATGCACACGCGCCCGGCGTGAGTTTAAGCCACCGGGTCCGGGACGCGAACCGCGGTCGACTACGTGGGAATCTAGCGACATAGCCATTACGCTAACTGCTGGTTCCCGTTGCCTGAATTTCTGAGGGAATCTTGCCCCCAGAAACCAGCATTTGGTTGAGATGCCCCGTGTACCTGCTTTTAGCTTCCCTCTGTTCCTGGCGTGATCTGTGTAGACCATTTCCTCACGTTGCCTCTTGCTATTCTTTCTAATTGCCCCTTAATGTCCTTTTTTCCTCGTTTAGGCAATTTGAAGTGGAGGGCATGTGTAGCTTTGCATAATAATGCACCGCGAAGGCATTTCGGGGAATACATTATTCGGATTGTTTACATGCATGGTTCAAATTTACTGGCAAATTGCACGAGCCTCCGTTTTTACGATGGAGCTGCCAGGGAGGCGCCTTCTGGGTACACCTCCAAACAGACGTCAGCCCTGCTACCCCTCGCCAACCCTTCCTCTGTCCTGTTCCTGCCCTGTCGCGCCTCCTTCCTTTCCCGACCCCCGGGGAACTCTGCAGCGCTGTTCAGCCTTTTGCACCTTCAGTGCAGACATCTCCCGGGTCCTCCCCAGAGCTGCCCCCTACAAAGGTGAGATGCGCAAAGGCATAAATCTCCACCGGTATAATTTTAGACACTGCAGCAACTGGGAAGGGCGGCTATTTTTGGCGGTGGGACTTTCTCCTTGACCCGATGTGCTATGGCTCTGCCTGCTGTGAGTGTGGCCGGCCAACCCGGCACGCGGTCACATGAGCCACGTGTTTGCCATTCCTGGGGGTGGCGTCTTCATTTCTCTGCCGAGCCGTCCCATGCTCACCCAGAATTCCGTGTGTCCCAGCGAGGGCAATGAACTAGCCATCTGCGTTCACCGAAGACTGTCACAGGATGATGCTCCAAGGGCTGGCCTGGGCCACTCTGGAGGGGCGGTACAGATAGAACGACTCTCTTCCACACTGGGGGCGGGGATTTCTGGTCCAGTTTCCGTGTATCCTCAGCCATCATGTTTGTTTGCTTGTTTAAGAATTATTTATAGGAACCAGCAGATAGCTACGTTGCTGGACTCCCATGTGGTCGACCGTGGGTGGCTTAAACTCATGCCGGGTGCGTGTGCGTGCGTGCCCAAGGTCTCAAGAGGAAAATGGAGGAGAAAGGATTGCGGTATGGCCATCCTCCCTGGGGGGTGATTTCGCCCTATAGCAAAAACAAACAAACAAACAAACAAACAAAAACAAAACAAAACAAAACAAAACTCTCCAAAAAAAGAGAATTATTTATTTAATTTTATGTATTTATTATTATTATTATTCAATTTGAAGAGTGAGATACAGAGACAGAGAGAGCAGAGAGAGGAGAGTGAGAAAGCAAGCTGCCAGGTCCAGGATTTGAACTGCGGTCAGTCATGTGGGAATCCAGTGTCTCAACCCCCATGCCCCTTGCCGGGCCCCCAGCCACTATGTTTTATCAGTTACTCAGCGGTCATTCTGAGTCATTCACTCTCTGAGCAAGGCGAGTCGGGCGGTCTCCAGGCCACAGTGTCTGACCATTCCCACCTACAGGGCCTCAGTGGAAGCCGCTTCCTCACCGGGATTCTGCTGACCACCCTGGTTGCTGTCTTCCCACCCATGCTTCTGATGCAGCTGCTGTCTGTGGACACCCCACGCTGCCCGGGAAGTGAGTCAGAACTCCTGCAGCTGATGATGGAACAGCGACAAGAAGATGTGAACGGGGCCAAAAATAATAGCACTTTCCAGATGAAGGTAATATGAGAGCCAAGATCATCAGTGGGTAGGGTATCTTCTTAGCTTTATACCCTAAAAAGTGCATGAGACTTGAAGAGGTACAGGAAGGAGGAATTAAGCCGGTGAAGAATAGGGAAATGGGAACAGTTTTTGTATTTTTTTTTTCTTTAAATATACAAAGGAACTGAGTTTCTTTATGTCAAAAGAGAGAAAACAGGCATTTTTTAAAGAGATATTTTTGCTATAGGGCACGTGATGCAGAGAGACGGAAAGATACAGAGAGACAGAAAATGAGAAATCACCCCCCATGGGGGTTGGCCATGCTGCAATCCCTTCTTGTCCATTCTCCTCTTGGGATTTGGGGCATGCATGCCCACGCACCTGGTGGGAGTTTTAATACATGTTCAGGTGATCTGTCATGCAGAAATAAACCACTGCACTGGACAAAGTTGATTCTCAAAAAATATCTATTAAATTTAATTCAGTAATGGGGAGGGGAGTCCTGCTGGGCCTGAGACTCGAACCACGGTCGCCTACAGGGAGTCCAGCAACATAAACCATTACTCTGTGAGGTCTTTTACAGATATGGAGAGATCCCTGGCTCTCTGGATGATAGGTCTCTTTTCTCTAACTCCCCAAACCATTTTTAAAAAGGGGAGAATTCTGGACGTGCAGAGTGAGAGACAGACTGACAGACAGCTTCTAGGACATAAGGAGAGCCTGACTAAGGAACAGAAAATAACGGAGGAGAAGTCAAAAATGGAGAAAAGGGTGAAGAAACCATGTGGCCTCCCCTCTGCATGACACATCCCCTGAAAATGTATTAAAACCACAGCAATCACTTTGTTATCCTGCATCGTGGATCTGCGCGTGGACTGGTACCAGCCGGGTGCCTCTCACGCTGTCTTTCTGATGGTAGCCAAGGTTGGCCCACCAGCTTTAGGGCTTTGTCTTTCGCTTATCTGGAGGCCGGTGTTGGCCGCCACTGCGACCTCAGTTGGGGCCGTCAGCTCATGGTCATTGCACAGGACTGAGCATCCTCATCTCATCCTTGCACTACTTACATGGACACTCAGGGCTCCAAACATGAATGTCCCAAGAGACCAAGGTAGGGGCCGGCAGGTGGCATGATGGTAAAAGCACTGGACTCCCATTCCCCTTCCCTACCTATTTGTGAGTCCCTTGCCAGTTTTCAGACTACTGAACCCTCGTCCCTTCCCTGTTTCATTCCTCCGTTGACTGCACGAAGTCTGTCTTTTCATTTTGGTTTTCTCCTTTGTGCCCACTGTCTCTTGCCTTCTAAAACCATACCTTATGTTCCACGAGACTCACGCCTTCCTCCTCTGCTCCCTTTGTTTTATCCCAGGGCGAGCTGTCCAGCAGAATGTCCCAGGACAATGGGTCCCAGTGTATCTGACAGCTGCATCTGCACCAGACGCCAGACATGGCGTGGACATCTTCACAGGAGGCTTTGCTCTGATGCAGGTGGGGTTTGCTGTTCAGCTGCTGACCTTCTTTGGGAAGCATTTCCTACATTCCATCATCGTGCAAAATCCTCTTCATCGGGACCTTCTCTCCATGATCACTCCATAAGCATTTGGTCCCTTCCTGCTCCTTCTTTCTTTTTTTCTTTCTTCTCTCTCTTCCCTTCCCTTCTCTTTCATTCTCTCTCTCTAACTGTGTTGCCTGGACTGGCCTTGAACTCACAATCCTCCTGCCTCAGCCTCCTGAGTTCTTGGGATTATAGGCAGGTACAAATGCATCCAGCTCTGGACATTCACTTCTATTACTTATTACTTTATTTATCATTATTATTTTTTAAAGAAATACTAAGTTTTGTTTATCACTGTTTTTTAATCTGACCAGAGAGAGACACAGTGAGAGAGAGAGAGAGAGAGAGAGAGAGAGAGATAAAGTGAGAAAGCAAGCTGTCAGGTCTGGGGCTTGAACCGTGGTCCACCATGTGGGAGTCCAGTGTCTCAATCACCATGCTACCTCCTGGTCCCTAATTTATTATTTTTTAAATAATTTGCTATAGGGCATGTACACTCACCAGAGAGAGACAGAGAGAGAGAGAAAGTGAGAAAACAAGCTGCCAAGTCTGGGACTCAAAACGCCAGTCTGCCATGTGGGAGTCCAGTGTCCTTAACCACCATGCACCTGCTGGCCCCTGGACATTCACTTCTTAATTCCTATATAGTTTGGTTTCACTTTCTTCCCTTTAGTACAAAAGCAGTGTACGTCCACTTCAGAAGATCTAGAACACACGGAGGTGAAAATAAGAAAACTAACCCAGTGGATTGGAGCGCTGTTATTACCATGATTTGGGCTTTTCTCCATTTTTCTCTACTTTTTGTTGTTGTTGTTGTCATTGTCATTTTTTGTTTTGGCCTTACCATATCATGACCCTCCTGTCCCATGCTCTCAGTTGTCAAGGACCATAGGCACGCAACGCTGTCTAGCCTGCTTAGGAATTGAACCTGGGCCTTGTGTGTCACTAGGCAGGGCTGCCCTCCCACTTATTTATGCTTTTTGTTTGTTCTTTAGTTCTTTTTTTTTTTTTTTTTTTTTGCTATGGGGCATGTGTGCTTGCTGGAAAGTAAAGGAGAGAGAGGGAAAGTGATGCATCGCCTCCCAGAGGGGATGGCCACACAGTCATCCCTTCCTCTTTATTCTTCTCTTGGGATTTCAGGCATGTGTGTACTTGCACCTGGCATGTTGCAAGCTTCCAGGTCCAGGATCAAACCACACTGCTGGCTGTGTGGGATCCAGCCAACTTACCCTCCATGCCACTGGCTGGCCCCTGTTTATGGTTTTTACATATAAAAAATATCATCACCACTGAGACAATCAGTGCTCTCCTCCATGCCACTTGCTGTTTTGTACTGAACTTTAAAATTCTACTGAACTTTAATCCTTGACCCCAGTTGATCGGAGCAGGAGTGGACACCTAGCTGGGCTGGTTCCTACTCTTTCTTCCCTTGAGAAGAAATCAGATACTATCTGGGACTGGAACTATAATTTTGCTTTTTTAAAAAGAATTGTTTGGGAACCAGCAGTTAGCGTAATGGCTATGTCGCTGGACTCCCACGTAGTCGACTGCAGTTTGCATCCTGGACCCGGTGGCTTAAACTCATGCCGGGCGCATGTGCCTGCATGCCCAAGATCCCGAGAGGAGAATGGAGGAGAAGGGATTGCGGCATGACCATCCCCCCTGGGGGGTGATTTTTCACTTTCTGTCTCTATGTCTCTGTCTGTCTGGTGAGCACACGCGCCCTATAGCGAAAACCTCTCCAAAAAAAAAAAAAGAATTGTTTTATTTAACTTTATTTATTTATTTATTTATTTGTTTTAATTTGACCAGAGAGAGAGAGAGAGAGAGAAAGAGAGAGAGAGAGAGAGTGAGAAAGCAAGCTACCAGGTCCAGGACTTAAACCACAGTTGGCCACACGGGAGTCCAGCACCCTTAACCACCACACCACCTGCTGGCCCAAATATAATTTTGCTTTGAGGTGGGATTAGAAGCTGTACCTCGAAACCTGAAGCTTGATTGGAGATGGTGGTTTGCAAGGGATGAGAAAAGAGACACGGTGAGAAGTAGAGGCAAAGAAGACTCCTAGGGGCATAGGCTCTTCGTGACCTGCAATGAATTTTGTGGGCTAGCTTGCATCTACCTCTCAGATAATCTTATTTTTTTTTAAAAAAATATTTATTTAATTTTATTTACCATTATTACTATTACTTTTAAAATTTGCTACCGGGCATTTGTGCTTACCAGAGAGAGACAGAGAGACAGAGAGGGAAAGTGAGAAAGCAAGTTGCCATGTCTGGGACTTGAACCACAGTCGGCCATGTGGAAGTCTAGTACCTTAACCGCCACACCACTTGCTGGCCATGATATTCATCTTTTTTTTTTTTTAAGTATTTATTGTTATTGCTAATACTATTATTGTTTAATATGACCAGAGACAGAGAGAGAGAAGGAAAGTGAGAAAGCAAGCCACCAGGTCCAGGACTCAAACTGCGGTCAGCCATGTGGGAGTGTCCAGTATCTTAACTACCACTCCACCTGCCGCCCCCGCCTCACATTCAGCTTTAACTGAGCACTGTCCACAGGATTCTGGTATTTTGATCTAAAACTTCTTGTGTAACATGACCTGTTTTCTTTCCCCCCACTAAATAATACGTCATAATTTTTTTTGCTATCATCATTTACTTTCCTACATTTTCATTTTGGTGACTGCACAGGGCATGCTCTGAGTCCACCAGTGTTTCTGGGAGAAGAGCCATTGATGGGAGAAGCTTGAGCTCTGGGGTTAAATAGTACTGAGGTTGGGACCAGCAGTTGGCGTAATGGCTACATTGCTGCACTCACATGTAGTCGACCGCAGTTCAAGTCCCGGACCCGGTGGCTTAAATTCACGTCGGGGGCGTGTGCGTGCATGCCCAAGATCCCAAGAGGAGAAGGGATTGCGGCGTAGCCATCCCCCCTGGAGAGTGATTTCTCGCTTTCTGTCTCTCTGTCTCTCTCTGTCTGTCTGGTGAACGCACGCGCCCTATAGCAAAAACCTATAAATAAATAAATAAATAAATAAATAAATAAATAAATAAATAAATAAATAAATAAATAAATAAATAAATACATACATACATACATACACTGAGGTTAAGTGCTTACACTGATACCTGTTTGCCATGTGATTTGGGCAAATAATTTAAATGCTCTACTTTGCAGTTTCCCCATCTGTCAGAGGAGCATAACAATGAGGTTCGATGATAATAATAAATCCTGACGTTCCCAGAACGTTATCTATTATATCAGTAAAGATTCAATAGATTCCATTATTAATGATCGTACGTTATTAATAACTTATTAATATTAAGGATCACACGTCTGTCCTCTATGATTGCTCACGTAATAACCTCCTTCCCATTTTCAACATAAGAAACAGAACGATAACAGACATCCTGACGGTCAGTTATCTGTGCATGATTATTTCTTGAGAGAAGTATCGAAGAGTTGCATTATTAGATCAAAGATTATGGGCATAAAAATTAAAAAAAATTGTAAGGTTTTTGCCATATGGCGTGTGCACTCACTAGAGAGAAACAGAGACAGTGAGAGGGGAAGTGAAAAATCACTGCCCAGGGGGAATGACCATGCTGCAATCCTTTCTCTTCCATTCTCCTTTGGGATCTTGGGCATGCATGCACACACGCCCAGTGTGATTTTTAAGCCACCAGGTCTGGGACTCAAACTGTGGTCGACCATGTGGGAATTCAGTGCTCTAACTACTATGTCACCAGCAGCCCCTAAAGATGTTTTTAAAACATGTATTGTTGGGCTGACCTGTATTGTGGTGATTAAGGTGGCTGGATCCCATATGGCTGACTGCACCGTTTGAGTCCTGGACCTGGCACCTTAAGAAACACGCTGAGCAGGGCCCAGCAGATGGTATAGTGGTTATGTCACTGGATTTTCGCATGGCTGGCCATGGTTCAAGTCCTGGACCTGGTGTCTTGAAAATCACACCAGGCATGTATGCATGCATGCCCAAAATCCTGGGAGGAGAATGGAGGAGAAGGGATATGGTATGGCCCTCCCCCATAGGGGATGATTTCTCACTTTCCCTCTCACTCTCTCTGTCTCTCTCTCTCTCTCCCCCTGGTAAGTGCAAGAGTCCTAAGACAAAAACCTCTTTTTTTAAAAAAAATAAATAAGGACCAGCAGTTAGCGTAATGGCCATGTCGCGGGACTCCCATGTAGTTGACTGCGGTTCAAGTCCCGGACTCGGTGGCTTGCTTTCTCACTTTCCCTCTCTCTCACTCTATACCTCTCTGGTCAAATGAAAATAAATAAGATTCAATCAAATAATTTTTTTTAAAAAAATGAAACAAATACAAAACAAAAAAGAAAAACACATATATTTCATTGCTCTCTCTGAATCTTCTGTTATACATCACCCCAGCCGTTAAAATCTTTTTGACCGCACCTTGTTTTTTCTGTCCAAGATGCGGTCTATGCTCACCTTGCAACAAAATTAAAACAGTGTTCTATTGGCCATTAGAGCTGGGGGTCTTTCAAGTAAATTTAATGAACTCATTTAGCTATTCACTTACATGTCAGGTGTATAATAACCTAGGTTTATAGATAAGGTTCTATTTTCAGAGCCGTCTGTAGTATTGCCAAGCATTGAGTGGGTTTTGCAGCCATTATATGCAGAGTTCCAGATGGTTCTAAGTCAGTCAGATATTGACTGAGTTTACAATATCTATAAAATTGTTCCTCTCTAGAAATGGGGACATCTGGAGTACAAATATCTCTAGCCAGTGGCCTGCCTGGAACGAACTTCCCATCTGCAAGTCCTACTCTGGCTTTAAGGCTCAGGAAAATACCAACATCTTTAACCCACCTACTGTGCTGGGCACTTTGGGAAGACAAAGATAACTCAGCCTGGCCTTTGTCACCAAGAAGCGTGCTCTGG